AAATTACCTTTCTTTTGGGGTGCCAACTCCATGTTTGCCTAGTAGATGAGTATTTAAGTGCTTCTTCATTACAAAAGCAACCCTAAAAAAAGAAATAACAGCAATTTCAGAACTAAAAATTCTCTGTTAGAAATATGTACAAAAAGTATTTTAAAATAGGCAAGTATACGTGGATGTATTATGAAAGTGCACATTATAATGGCACTCTTGCTAAACAAAAAGCTTGCACACAGATTAAATGCACCACAATACTTGAAAACCAGTATTTAAATGGACTGGTTCATTTTCTTCCTTGAGTATACCAACAGTGACCAAAACAATGATTTTAGTTCTTTAGTCATTGTCTTCACTGACAGTGAGAAAGATAAAGCAATACCTCAATATAACACGCACTGCCCCCCAGTTGATCCTACACTTCAATCATGAAACGAGTTTGAGAAAATGTCATTTTATTAAATATTTAAGGGACTATAAAAGAGAAAATGAATAGCCTTCATGAAGCTTCCTTAAAAACATGGTAATAATTTGAAGAGAGGTTTTTGAAAATGATATAAATGTTTACTGTGCACACACAACAAAATGTACTTAAGTGCCAAGAACATATCAATAACTAAAACAAACAAAAAGTATTACCTGACATGCTATCTTATTTTATACACAAATCAGCTTGCTTAATCCAATTTTGTTGACATAAATATGAAATGGACAGGAATCAGAGTCAGTCCATGGAGCACCATTCCTCTACTGCACATAGTACAGCATCAATTTAATTATGTGGTATGATTATTTAAAACAATTTAGATCTCATTCAGAAGCATCAGATTAAAATGGCTCTCTTTATAAACAAAAAAAAAAAAAAAGAAATTTACTGTTGTAACTTCCAGTGTAAAAGGGCTTGCAAACATTTTTGTTAATTATGTATTACAGCTGTCCTTCATAAAGTTAATTACTAATAGCTGAAAGGCAACAGAATCTATTTGCATATGTACATGAAAGGCATGACATATGCAAAAATATGATTTTAATTAGCATTCTATGATATGAAGGGCTACAAATCAAATTGGCATGTTATAAGATTCTTAACATTAAACACTGAATTCATCTGGACATGTTTGCACAAACAGGCAACATAAAACTGGAAAGTTCTGTGGCCGTATGGAACAGACATGTGTCAAAAGCCAAGACTGAAACAATTTCTAAAATGTGAATGCTTCTTTTCTTTTCATGTCTGGTTCTATTTTGATTATTGTCATATAACATTAGGGAACCTCAGTTTTGAGGCTAAAATAATATATTTGTATTTTTTTTAAACGACTGTGACTTCATTGTTCAAATAATGAATTTGTATACACTGAAAATAACATTCATTCCTTTTTATATAGTAGGTAATAACCATGGACAATATATGCTTTAGAATTATAAATAACTGATCAAACCATCAATCATTAAAATGGAAAAATAATTATTACATATAAAGAATCACACTGTGATGATATTAAATGCTCAGCAAAAATAATACAAGATATTCTATATTTGTTTCGCTTGATTTGGACAAAATAAATAACATTTTTCATTTCCTTAAAAAAGAATACAGTAATAACAACAGTCCATTTAAGCCATAACTTCCCTACTGTCCTCTATTTTCCTATAATTAAAAAAACATAAAGCTAATAGCAAAGAGCAAAGGTTAAGAACCCAAAGTTGCAAAGCACAGCTTATTTATATGACCAAGTATAATTTTAAGAGATCTGAGCTTAGAAACCACAGCATAGTTTTTAAAAGAAAAAATTTATTAATTAGAATGTTTGTTTTAAGAATTGAAACAAAAATATTACACTGCACAGGGGAACAAACTAAAGTACACAGGGAAAGAAAGCCTCTACCTAAAATAAGATCCTTACATTATCTGCTGAATGTCTATAATACTAAATATTTAGAGGAATAACAATTTTTTATTACTATGGAAAAAATTTATAATACTAAAACAGCTCCATTACAGTCAAATGCAAAATATTTATCTATTCAAAATCTGACTTCAAGTAAGTATAAATTCTTTAAATTTGATCTAACTAAAGTACAAGTAGTGCAAAAGTCTTAATATCAGTTACAAAAACAGAAGCCAAGCATGACTGACTAAAATAAACTTACCAACCTAAAAAGACATAATACTGACAGCAGTATGTGATTACTGAATGTAGCCTATCCTTCATGGCCATCATCAGAGTATTGTTTTAATGTTTTTAACATAATAACTGTTTTGGAAAATTTATAATCTAGATACCACCAGAAATAAAACAAAAATAATCCCAAATCTGAAAAGCTATGCAGCTGAAATGCCTTGCTCCTAATGAATACTCATGCCTTTATGCATTCATTCCATTTCCACACATTTCTGATCACTTGGGAAGTGCCAGCCACTGGTAGGTTCTGCAGGTACTATGTAAAATCAGACAGTTAAAGCTGTGCCTTCACGAAGCTTTCACCCTGTAAACCCGTAGCTTCTCAACAGGATGGAGTGGTACTAAGCCAGCCCCACTCCTGGGTGGACACTGTGAGTCTCGAGTGCACACATTAGCCCACGTACTTAGTAGAACCTACTCAATGCAAGAACAGTTCAGGCAGCTGTGGTGCACAGGTGACAAAACAAACACAAGTCCCTGCCTCAGAAAATGCAAAATCTGGTGAGGGAAACAGACAACAAGAACAAAAAGTAAAATTCAGAGCATCTTAAATAGTGATGAGTGGTAGCAGAAACAATAGAGAAGGAAGATCTGAAATGTCAGCAAGGGGTCAAAATGTTACATTTGGGTGGCTTAGGAATGTGATCTGTGAGTCAAGAGGGTGGGAACTGGGCATGTCCACAGAAGCAAGGGCAGCCACAGAGACCCTGGGGTGGGAGCCCGTGGGGCCTGTTCTCAGACAGTGAAATGCAGTGCAGAGCAGGCACAGAGGAAGGAAGAGGACGCATGGGAGCAGGTTAGAGAGGACAGGGCAGGGACAGAGGGTGTCCAGGGGCTAACAACCTCGTGGGCCATGACAGCCTGGGCTTGTACTCTGAGTGAGAAGGAAAGTATCGCAGGCATCTGAACGGTGGAGAGGCATGTTGGACTCAAATTTTAATAGATTCCTCTAGCTGTTCTGTTTAGAACACATTGGGAGGGAGGCAGATGGAGAGATGGGGAGAGAAAGGGGGACAGAGAGGGACAGGGCAAGAGAGGGAGAGGGGGAGAGGGAGAGAGAGAGAGGGCAGCTGGGAGGGGGAGAGGGAGAGAGGGAAAGGGGAGACATCTGAGAGAGGGATCTAACAGGAGGAGGCTGAATCTACTGGTCTTGAGTTCAAGGGCAAGATCCATGCTAGAAATATACCCTCTGAGGCTATCCATTTGGCAAGTGCCTGACAATCTGAGGGAACCTTGAAATAATAAAAAAGTGTTTTTTAAATATGATTGATTTCCAAGTATCTATAATTGCCTGAAAGAGCATCACTTAAAATTGTTTTTAGTGTCAAAAGAGCAGCACAGTAATAACATTTACATCCTAGCTATAGATTTCTACCTTTCAGTACAAAAATTTCATATTTTAGGGCCGACCTCATGGCTTAGCAGTTAAGTGCACACGCTCTGCTACTGGCGGCCCGGGTTCGGATCTGGGTGTGCACCGACGCACCACTTCTCTGGCCATGCTGAGGCCGCGTCCCACATACGGCAACTAGAAGGATGTGCAGCTGTGACATACAACTATCTACTGAGGCTTTGGGGAGAAAAAGGAGGAGGATTGGCAATAGATGTTAGCTCAGAGCTGGTCTTCCTCAGCAAAGAGAGGAGGATTAGCACAGATGTTAGCTCAGGGCTGATCTTCCTCACAAAAAAAAAAAAAAATCATATTTTAACTCCTAATTTTAAAATATTTTTTCCTACACTATATATCAATATAATAAAAACCTCTTCCTTCAGTCCCTTAGGTTTTATCACTGCAGAATTATTTCAACTTGAGTCACGAAAGATTATCTGACTGATCTGTTAAAGTAAATAAAATACAATACCATGAATACAGAGAAAGAGATGTGAAAAGCAACAGAAATCCAGAACAGGACACATTGGCATTCCCTAACTCCCACATTGTGTAAGTCAGGGTGTTTAACGCAGGGGCCAAAAGTCAGGTTTGCACACGCTGTGTTACTCCCGAACTCAAGGACAGAGGAACAGTACCAGCAGAAGGCTTTCCTGAGTCAGTGTTAAGTTTTCATTTGTGTTTTCTTTGTCTCTCTGATAAGGTCAGAAGCTCCTCAAAGACAGGCCTATAGGATATAATACCCAACTACTTGAAAATTTCTCATGATCAGGTCAATGTAGGCCATACAGGTTACAGGAAAGATAAATTAAATGTATTTGTTTTTAGAAGTTAAAATCTAAACACAATAACACAATAAGTTAAAAGAACAGAAGAGCTTCTAAGAACACAATAACATAACTATGATGCAAGCACATTCACATTCTTTCGGTCTTATTTTTGGATCTGTAGTAATCTACCCAGTTCTTCCAACTGGAACCCTCTACACCAATGCCACACACTTCCCAAACTGCTTGTCAGAACACGCAGTTCATTCAGTGAAAAGCTGAGTGAACCAAACAATAATATAACTGACAGTTTTCAGTCACTGCTAAAGAAGCAGAAAATTTTAAAAAAATAAATAAAACCAGCAAGCAGCAGGGTCAGCTGGCAAAGACTCCCCGAGGAACACAAGAAACAAAGCAGTCTCAACCAGACACTTGGGGCTATCTTCCCAGTTAACGCCTCACACTGGGTTGACCAAAGCAGCGTTTGTCCCACTAGCAGCAGTTCAAGTACAAGTGGGTGGTCGTATCATGGCTCTGCCATTTATGACTTGTGTAACTTTGAGAATATGAAGTACATTCTGAGTTCCAGTTTCCTTGGTTGAAACATGAGAAACGCAAGACTTCATAAGAGTTTTGTGAGAATTAAATAAAACAATGTAAACACAATGTAGCATGAGGGGCAGGTAAAGACAACTTAATAAATAATAGCTAATATCAGTACTGCTATTTTTAAAATCAAGCCAGT